TCTGTGCGCTCCAATCTTTCACAGAGAGTGAAATACGTAAGAAGAGAGAATCGGTTGGATCTAACTCCCTTTATTATCCACTTCACTGTGACATCGGGGAAATGAAAAACCCTTTTTAAGAGGCTTAAAAGACATCAGAAATGAATTGGATAAAGGTCGACGCTATCATTAGTTTTTGCACTAAATCGTAGTACTTGCACATCATTTGATGTATATGCCAAGAATACCAAGACTGCTTGGTCTTTCAATGTGGGTATCCCTGTTAGTGATTTTATTAGAATGCATCATCAAAGCAGGCCGTCCAAAGTTGGGCACATTAAGGCAGATAAAAATTGCTTGTTTCGTTCGGTGCTTATTGTTTAGCATGCAAGATAATGGGCATACCGCTGTCGGGCAAAGCGTCATGCGATTTGAAAGGAACCGCGATGACCAGTTCCGTGAAACTAAACACATGACAAAAGAAGCTTGAGCGGGACATTTTGACAGGATGAGGCTTAAAGGCAAATGAGCTAATTAAATTGAACTTTCCATTTTGGCATCCTTGCTAGATGCAGTCATCTTGACATATCTGGATGGCTGATGGCTACAATACAGGCTGTTATTTGAGGCCCGAGGTGACGACTTGTTCCGCAAGTCAACGGTTGAGCAATATGACAGCGATGCTGGCTGTTACCAAACCAGCACGATTTTAACAAAAGGAAGGCTGTTACCGAGCTTGTTCGTTATTGAATATCAGCCATTGTACTGCAGCACGAAGAAGGCTTCCGAAAATTCATCAGCAAAGCAAGCCGTCCGAAACTGGGCACATGAGACAAGTGGAAACTGCCTGTTTTGCTCGGTTGCTTTTTATTGTATAGCGTGCAACGATGATGAGCATATTGCTGTTAGGAAAAGTATCGTGCGATTTGAGAGGAATTATCATGACCGGTGAAATCAAACACACGGCAGAACGGGCCTGGAAAGAGCATTTTAACAGAAGGGCGCTTGAAGGCAAATGGGCCACCGAAATCGAACTTTGCACTTCGACATCAGTGCTGTTCGCAGATGTCCGGACATATCTTGATGGCAAGTGACTTCGATACAGTCTATTATTTGTGTTCAAAAAGACAATTCATTTCACAAATCAGCAGTCGAACAATACGACGATGATGTCATTAAAGGGAGGAATGTTTCACTGCAAGACAAGCCAGCAATATGTTCGAGCTTAACAAAAGAAAGACTTTTGTGAGCGAGTTTGTGCACTATTGAATGTCAGCCATTACAGCGTATCACAGAGAGGGCCTCCGAAAATTCTTCATCTGTTGCTGTTTTTTCTTACTACAGTTGTGCAGCTGACA